CTGAAAAAGGTTCGGCGTCGAAGCGATCGCAGGTTGTCCGTCTGGCGCGCCGATGGCGAAGCGCTGAGGCCCTCCCAAACCTCCTGGGCCGTTCGAAGCACCAAGGATGCCCCACCCCTTTCCAAGCTCTACTGGCTCCGCCAAGGCCTTGGGATTGGTACCAGTTCGCTTGGTTCCGCCTTCTCGCCCTGCCTGGTGCCCCGAGCCGCTGCTGCGCCAAGACCGATGCTGCTGGAGCCCTGGCGAGGCCTTGGCTGGGCTCCGAAACTGCTGCGCTTGCGACTGCAGGGTGGCAAGTGCGCGCGTCTGTCCTACGCGGCAGAGTCCAAGGAGTCGACGGCCTCCCGCTGCTTCCCCCGCTTGCAAGACGCATCTTCAAGAGCAACACCATCTCGGACAAGTGCGACGCCCCGCCGTCCTGCGAACGATCTCCAGTCGACCCGAGCGAATTGGCCCCGTCCTCGGCAGCGGACGCCCGTCGTCGCTGCTGTCTGCGACGCAATTCGTCCTCGACCGCGGCCATCATCACCTCTGGCTGATCCGTCTCCTGCTGCTACGGCTGGCTCGTCGACCCTGGACCAACCGGCGCTGGCCGCGGAGGGGCCGCGCAGGCGGGGGCCTGCATCCCCCGAGCCCCCGACGGCGGAGCGGGGGCCGCCACCAGAGCCTTCCATCCCGGGCCCGCCCCGCTCTGCCGGAGGAAAGTCCCCCCGCGCAATGAGCACGCGCGAAGCGCATTGCACCTTCTCGGCCTTGCCAGGCCTCGCTCGCGCGGCGCAGAACGAGCAAGCCCACCAGCGCGCACACGCATTGGTATCATTTTCGGCGTTGATAGGAAGATGCCAACACTCGAAGCAGGCCCTCGGAACCGCTCGGAGGCGCTTGACATGGCTCATGGACCAGAACCTGAGGGCGGAGCATCACGCGCTCAAACTCGTCGGCGGTCGCGCTGAGACAAAACATTACCGCGCCGACCAACGCGGCCCATCCTCGACTCGCTTTGGCGACGTTCGGCGGCATTGTAGCGCCAGTGACCGCGCAGGTCCACGCGGTCTCCCGGCCGGACACCAGCTCGACAATGGTAGTCGGGCGGCTTTCCCTGAGCTGCGCCCCCGCAGGGCCCGTGCCCTCCCCGGCTGGCACGGCGCCCATGGACTGGGAGATCGGGAAGACAGCGGGTCTGCTGGACTACGAGATCGAGAACTTGCGGGGCCCACAAGCTTCAGCCGAAGCGATGACTGGTGAATATCCACAGGAGACGCAACGCTCTCGGACCTGGACGGGTCCTTGAACCTCTGCTGGGCGAGGTAGTTGTCGACATGGTCGAGGTTGCTCGTGAACTGTTTCTAGCGGCAGTAGCGCGTCCGGGACTGCTCGAGCCCCGCGGCCCCCGACGGCGCCCTTCCTTGGCGCACAGAGTTGGCATGGAGCGATCTCGACCAGATCCAGAGGCCAGCCCCTCGGCCCCATCGACTCGAAGCTCGTCGTCCGAAGTCCTCCACGTGACCCCCGATCATCCCGGCCGGCGCATCCAGGAATGACTCTCGGAACCAGCGGCGCCCGGGACCTAGCCTCTGCAGACCCCAGGGGTCGCCCCTTGGAGGCTCGGGAACGACATGGTATAGGATATAGTGGATGCCAGACGCCTAGTTCAACTACACCAGCATATGCGGCGGGCAAGATAGCGGGGCGGGTGACTTTGCCCCCCCCGATGCCACTCCCTCCGCAGCGGCGTTCCTAAGGGAGCTAGTGAAACCCTCAGACCAAGTTGCTTCAAGTGCTCCGCGCGTCGATCAAGAGATGGCCCTCCGACGGGGCCCTGTCCAGCGCCTGCGCCCACGCCAAATTTCCAGCGTCGATGCGAGGAGCAAAACGAGCACGCCTCTGAACTAACCTGGGCCCCAGGGCCCCCAGTCTGGATGATTGGGACCCGCGGCGTTCGCGAACGCGTGGCCGACCCAATTCGCGACCCCACCTCTGGTTGCACTGGCACCTTCGCCCTGGCCGCTCCGGTCTGGACACTCGAGTGACCGACCAAATGACCTTCTCTCGTGATGTTTCTTGCGTCTGGTCCTCCTGTTCAGCGCTGCCAGCGGCAGCGAGCCTGTGCGGGGACGATGGACAGACTTGGCCCATCGATGTCCGCATTCGGAGAAACCGCACTGATCTCGCCCGCGGCGAGACTCCTTCATCTGTTGAAGACCTTGCGATCCAGTTCCATGTGAGGTCTCGGTTCCGCTACCAAGTTGCCACGCGATGATCATGCCTGGTGTTGAAGACGTAAATCGCAGCTCATCGCCGTACGAATCCATCTCGTCCTGCGCCAAGTAGGTCCATTCTCGCCCCGCGTGTCCAGCGAGGATACATCCTTGTCATCGAGCAGATCGTCGCTGGTCTCAACCTGCGCAGAGAAGGTGGGCTCATCTGGGCTGTTGTTGAGACCCCGTTCGCCGTCGTTACGATATTCTCGCGCACGCCAATGTGTAATGCGCCCCTTTCTTGCGACGCCCATTTCTCCAAAGGCTGCAAAGGCCTCACTCTAAGAGCCATTGGGGTTCACATGGATCTTCATGAGCTATGTTCCTCGCTCATCCAATCCAACTCCTTCTTCTAAGAACATTAATTCCCAATCGTCTGGCAGCGGCACTCGCAGCGTCGCCACCCTATCGACAGCCAGGTCTGACCTAGCGGCGTACTTGGTCAATCCTTCGCAACGCCTGCACTCCGGGAAAGTAGTGCAAACGAGTCCTCACAGCGCCAGCTCCGTCGTCCGATTCAAGCATATCGTCGCCGATGTCATCCATTTTTCAAAGAGGATCCACTGGTAGTTGCCTCATGATGCGGTCGGCATGCTTTTTCCTGGCTACGTGCTTGGAGAGATACTGTACCGCCAGAGCTTCTATGCTGGCCATCCTGTCCAGGCTTCTGGACCTGCGAAGTCTCTGCTGGCCTTCTCCTCACTTGCCCAATACACTTCTCCAAGACTGTAGCCGGTTGGACTTCCACGCGGTCCATGCCCAGTCCTTGTTGTTGTCGTTCCTCCAATTCTGAGCTAGCCATTGCTGATCGTGCCATGATGTGTTCCTCCAGTCCGTGACGGACCAGACTTGGTTGTTGCTCCCCACTGCCGTGGCCGCGCCGCCCGATGGACCCCAGGACTTGGCACACGCGGCGCAACCTGATGCGCGTGGAATGGCTCCGATTGCTTCGCCGCCCCAGCTGCTCCATATGACTTGGGACTTCACAGAGAGCTATTCCCACGCCTTGGTGTCGCCCTCGTCCTCGTCTCGTCTGCCTTCGCCCTTGAGCTGTCGTTATGACTGGCTTTCGACACGGCTGTCGCCACTATCTCCTGCATCCCTCTTTCATTTGCTCAGCCGTGACCAAGTACTGTGCGTCATAGTTCTTCATTTGCCAACTAACTCCAGCACCTGGTTGCTAGCGTCTTGGCCTTTCGACGGGTCGTCGCCCTGCGAATTATCATCCTGCTCGTCCGACGCATGTGGTCCGCAGAAACTCCTGAAGCGTCCTCGGACGCTCCGCTTCCACTGCCCCCTGGCCGATGTCGCCAACGAAGACGAAGATGTCCTTGCCGCGGGCGACTCCCCCACCATTCGCTCCCAAAACGTCAGTAGCAGCACGTGACACGCTGCAGGATGATGAAGGGAAACGGGGAAGCTCTCAGCATGGATGGGAAAAGAGGTCAGTTCGGAGCGCAGTCAGGTGGAATAGGAAGAACTGCCCTGAGCCAGAATTGGTACAGACCCATCTCCATTCTGTAACGCGTTCAAGCTCAGGAAGAGATGTCTTCTCCAACGTGAGCGACCTCTGGCAGTTACTTACACAATATGCACGCCCGAGGCTCCTGACCCACAGACCAGGCACGGTGGCACGACTCTTGACGGATTCACTGTTATGCGGGCCAGCGGCATGCTGTAAACCTGTCGAATATAGCCTTTGAAAGACAAGCGCCGCAAGAGTCTGCCGCTCAGGCGAGAGCCCCGCATTGGTTAGGAACTGCCCTGCATACTTCCCCAAACAATGAGTTCACCAATGGGCTCTTGCTTCTTGCATTCTGAGAACGTGACTGGGTGTCGAGGTTTCGCCTGGCGGGCGCCCGTGGTACCTCGTCGGCGCCTCGTGCAAAGAGGTGGTTAGGGAGAGAGGTGTAACCACGCGACCAGCGGTACACCACACGGCCACGGCTTGAATCACAGTGCACAGCTGATTCCTTCATATGACGGCGTCAACTCTGGCCTCTGACACAGCGGGGACCGCTCCATCCCGAACGAGCTCCGCCGCCAGAGGTCCCGAGAGGCTCTCGCCCCAGAGGGTGGGCTGTTTCCAGTGGGCCCTCAGGCCCATAGCGGGCCCTCGGAGCGCGTGCGTGGATTCCTTAGAACGGCGCTGGAACCCCCTCCCCTCGCGGAGACGCCACGCTGGAAGTTCGACCCTGAACGACCGCGCTGACGCCGATGACCGACATGCCCGCTCTGCTGGACGCCGTAGCCTCGCTGGACGCCGACGCGCTCGAGTCGGACCAGGTGGACCTGCTGCTGCGGAACCTGCCGTCTCAAGCCTGGGCGGCACGATCAGGGGGGAGGCGCAGGGGGGAAGCCTTCCGAGAAAGCGGGAGGCTTCTCAGGAAGGCATGGGGCTCCTTTCGATTAGTGGCGAGATCTTTTCTTCGGATGCTTGCCTTGAGCCATACCAGCAATGGCATGATCTCTGTCAGTAAACCTGCTGGGGGTCTCTGGATTCCTGCAGCCCCCTTCGCGCCGCCTAGCTCTTCAGCCAGGCACGATACTCGAATCCTGGAAAGCTCCGAAACTCATTGTCAGTGCACAGCGCTCTGGACCACGGCGTTGGTCGAGCACTGCAATCAAAGCACACGCAATAGCCGCGCTGACGGCCGTAGCCCGCCCAAGGCAATGACAGCGCGGAGCGAAAGACTGCAGGCCGACATGGCCAGGCCAAAATGGCCGCTCGTGCCCCTCAGTTCAGACCTTCGCCTGAAGGGCACTCGAGAGGGGCGCGTCCGAGAGCGTGACACTCATCATCCCCAGCCCTCGGAGCATCGCCGCCTGGTCGAGGAACTTCGTCCCCAGGTCCGCCGGGTTCGACTTCCCGGGAACCTTGGCTAGTTGAAACCGTCCGTCCTTGAGTGCCTTCTGCACCCACAGCGTCGGCGTCTCGAGGTGTCGGACTTTGCCGCAGCCTCGTCGTTGCATGATGCCAAGAGCAGCTGCCGAGTCGCTCCAGATGCGAAGGCTCACGTCCCTGCCTAGGCCCTGGCACAGTGACTGCATGCCGATGGCCCTGCTGGCCGCCCGCACACAGCCGTAGAACTCAGCCTCCCCCGAACTCATGGAGATGGGGATCTGAGTCGTCGATGCCGTCACGATCAGGTGCTGCCCATGTTTGATCACGACTGAACTGGTGCTCCTCCGCGTGATCGGGCAGCCTGCCCAACCGGTGTCCGAATAGATGTCCATCACTGTGGGTGCCCGCTGTCGGCCCCACTTCCAGATGGCCCGCGGCGCCCCGATCAAGAAGCGTCCAGCGCGCTTCAAGAGGCGGAGGTGTCGCTCTGTCGGCTTCTGCATGCCGCGAGCGCACTCCTTGGCCGCAAACTGCACCTCTGGCCGATCGAGCGCCAAGTAGCCCAGCCTCATGCACGCACTGCGGTACTCTGCCGCCTCGTGCTCGTTCAGCTCGCGCTCGACCTCAGGTGTAAGCTTCTGGCTCAGCCCTGGCGTGCTCAATGACTTCGTGGTGCGGGGGTCCATTCCAAGCTGCGCGTGCAGGATCTGCGCGTGCCTGGGATCCGCCTCGTACTCGATGGCCTTGCCCCCTTGGCACCATCGGTCTCGCCAGCGCATTACCCTGTTGAGGCACGTGATCTCCTTTGCGTCGGTAGGCGCCGGCCCGAGCACGCCCCTGTCCTTCGCGATGATATTCGTCTTCAGGGCCTCGCAGATCGACCCCGTCCCGTCCCGAGAGCCCTCGAGCACGAAGTCGTCGCCGTGGTGGAAGAAGCTCACCTGGAGGTCCTTGTGGCAGTACACGCAAGGCGAGAAGGCCGACTGGTCGCAGCCAGCACCGATGACCGTCTCGGCAGTCGCGAGCTCAAAGTTCTGGCCAGCGTCGCGCGCCCCGTAGAGCGCTTTCCGCAAGAGCCCACACGTACCGATCTCCTGCGACATCGGATCCTCCTCTGGAAGCTTGATGTAGACCGTCCTCTTGATCTCACAGTGCGGGTGCGCCCGCGAGATGTCCAGGAAGCGCAGCACGCGGCCCTCGGACGGGTCGCTCGACATCGCCATGCCGCAGATGAGCCGAAGGCACTCTAGCGGCGGGGTCGCCGCAAACACCGCGCCGATGTCGTCCCCGGCGATGGTGCTCTGCGCCTTGGTCTCCCGCACGACGAGCCTGGATCTGTAATCCGGCCGGTCGGTGTCGCCCTTGTCGATATCAACCCAGCGCACACTGAGAGGCCTCCGCCCAAGCTCGCGCCGACAGTCCTCCTCCCTCGCGTAGACCCACACGCCAAGCTGCGCCATGAAATCCATCTCCAGGCGCCTCGCGGCCTTCACCCGCGTGGGGTCCAGCGGGAGGCCGGTGAGGTCGTCGTAGAACTCGGTCCTCAGCGTGTCGCGCCACTTCCCGACGAAGTCCTTCAGGCTGATCTCCTCATCGCCCACGTTCGGCCCAGCATCCAGGGCCGAAAGCGCGAGCACCTTCTTGTTGCTAAGGTGACGGCGGAGGCCACGGAGGATGGCGCGGAGGAGCTTGACCGGGCACCTCTCCGCCACACGCATGTTGCGGCCGACGAAGGTGGAATGCTCGTGGCGGCTGCCAATGCCAGTATCATTGGGGCAGCGCTTGCAGACCTCATCCAACACCTCCTTGTTATTACTCATCCACCCTGTCGGCTTCTTGGCGAGCCTGTCGCCGCGCGCGTCCGCAACCACCAGGCCGAACACGCACTGGTCGCCTCGCCCGACCTCGACACCCGGGAGAGCCATCACATCCTTCACGACGTCCAGGTCCCAGCTGTCCGCGCCCCAGGGATGCTCGTGCAAGAACGTGCGGTCGTGCTTCACCTGCAGCGTGTAGAGCTCCATCACGAACCTCAAGTGCTCGTACCCGATGGCGTAGGCCTCACGCTGCTTCTCCGTGTCCTCATTCAGGTACTTCAGCATGGAGAACGGCGCGCAGCGAGGACTGCCCAAGAGGAAATACACCTCGAAGTGCTCGATCAGCTCCCGGCACTGTCGCTGCTGCTGGCGGTCGGTCAGGTCCCAGCCAACCCTCAGGTCGAACGAGCCGCCGTGGACCAGACCGAAGAGGGGGGCAAAGCCCACAAGCCTATTCGGGCAGAAGACCTCCATCACGTCGGCCTTGCGCCCGCTGTAGCCGAGAGAGAACAGGAGGGCACCGATCTCCTCCTGCATGTTGTCGTCGCCGGGGTCGTGTGGTGCCGGAGCCATCGCCACGTCAGCCGCCGCCGCGGCCTCGGGCGCTGGCGGCACCTGCTGAGCTGGGGCTGGACCGCCACTGCCTGACGAGCCGCCCTCTTGATAGACAGGCCCGGCGACGTCAGTGCGATGCCGCTTCCGCTCACGGGCATCCTCGAGCCTCTGCTTTGCCTCCTCGTCGTCCTGCATCGCCTGCTCGATCCGAGCGCGGCACTCGGCTGAGTGAGCCTGCGCCCGGGCGCCGTTGAGGATCGCGGCGCAGCCGTGGCAGCCCGGGGAGAGCCCGCACTTCGCGATCTCGACGTCCTTCCTGATGTAGACGGCCCGCGGTCCTGCTGGTGGCCGCCCGACTCGGAGAGCCCGGGGCGGGAGGTCCCCAGCCTCGGGGATGGGCGCCAGAGGTCCACCCAAAGACGCGACTGGCGCTGGCACCGGCGCTCGGATCTCGATGGCCACCGGTACCTCATCCACCTCCACGTCCGTCGGCGCCGGCGCCCACGGCTTCCCCACGAGGCTGTTCAGCAGGTCCTTGTCGGCCCGCTGCTCGACCGTCAACCGCTTGAAGGTCCTGGCCCGTAGCACGCCCAACTCCGTGCCAATGTAGACCTCGCCCGTCCGAAGCGTGGGCCCCAGGTAGAGCCCAGCGAGGAACTTGTCCTCGATCCCAGCCTTGCGCTTGCCCCCTGGGAGATACAGGACCTTCTCCGAGAAGCAAGCCAGGTCCTTGTTGAAGGGGCGGCCGCGCCGAAGTTCCCAAGCCGCGCGGCCGTCAGCACCCCGCCTGCCCAGGTTGATGGACATGGCTGCGAACTCGACCATCCACGGGGTCACTGGGTGCTCGACGCCAATGCTCACACCGTGGAGGTCGTCCACCTGCGCCCGCACCGTCCTCACCTTGGCCTTGACCTCGCGCACCGCGTGCTCGGCCAGGCCGTTGCCCTGAGAGTCGCCGACCGCGCTCTCCTCGGGCACCGTCTCGATGCCGTACTCCTCCTTGAGCTTGGCCCCGATGCGGGTCTTCAGGGCGACGAGCGGCGCCTCGCCGTCTGAGCGGAAGACGAAGCGCTTGTGGCCAGCCGATGCCAGCCTCCTGGACCACGACTTTGCCGGCTAGGGATGATGCGTCCCCTTAGCTGGCACCACCGACGCGTGGAACCAATGCTGCTTCGAATCTTTCCCGATCAGCAGCGGCGCGGCGTCCTCTCGTTCACCGAGGTAGCCGTAGTCGATGCCAGCCACCGCGAGCGCCGACTCCTGGTGGTCCTTCGTCTGATGGCCTGCGGACAGGCCTCTGCCGGAGACGCACTCCCGGCACCATGCCCTGTAGGGCTCGTGCAGCACCTCGTGCGCGGCTCGCTCGGCCGCCGTCGGCGCTGCGGGCTCCCTCGCCGGCCGTACCGGCGGGCCCTCGGCGACCTCCTCGTGAGCCGCGCCTGGCTGGCCGGCTTCACCCTCGGGAGGCTCGTGGCCTGCCACCTCGAACGGGCAGACCTCCGGCACGTACGGGTCGACGTGCATATCCATCTCGTAGACCTTGTTCCTGCGGCAGAACTTGACAACGTCTCCGCTGGTCTGGTGGCACGCGTAGCTAATGTCCTGCCCGCCCTCCGAGTCGAAGACGAGCCGATGGCCGGAGTCGACCATCTCCGCGACGCTCAGCAACGGCTTGCTGATGTCCGCCACCCTGAACTTGGCAGCGCGTGCCTGAGAAGCCCCAGGCATCGTCCCCACGAGGATCTTCTCGCCCTCGTCGTTCGCGTAGTGGCCAGAGGCGGTCGTGTACGAGATCGCCTGGCCGCCCTCGTGCACCGGGTAGTCCGTACACGAGCCACGCGGCAGCACCGATGCCGCCGCACACGAGTCGATGCCCACACGCAAGATGCCGTTGAGCTCGACCTCCTCCGCATCCGAGTTGCCGTGGATCATGTTCAGGTCCAGGGCCACGCGGGTCGCAGAATCGACCGCGTCCGCCTTGTCCGGCCCCGGGTCGTAGATGCTGAGGGAGTGGAGGTTCGCGAACGGGTAGCTGACCTGCTCGTCCGCGTCGTTCAGGTAGAGCGCTGCGACCTGTCGAGAGCTCGTGCCGGACATCGCCGTCACCGGACTCAGCCTCGTAGTCGCAGCCGTCGAAATAGAGCTGGCCGCCGATGGTACGGTCGTACTCGTCGACTGGGAGGCGTTGATGCGAGCCAGCGTCTGCTCCATGCTCGCCAACGCCCCCCTGTGCTTGCTCGGGCATTCACGCTGAGTGCGGCCGCGACCGCCGCAGCCCCAGCAGAGTGGCCCGAGCTGCTGACCATGTGACTTGCTGCTGGTCTTGCTCTTGCCGTCGGACTTGGACTTGCCCTTGCTGTCGCCCTTGCTCTTGCCCTTGCCACTGGACTTGCTCTTGCCCTTGCCGTCGCCCTTGAACCTGCCCTTGCCGTCACCCTTGGTGAACGCGCTCAGGTCCATGGGCACGGGCACCGGGGCGATGGCGCTCTGGGCACGGCGGACGTCGGTGACCTCACGTCGGAAGTCTGGCCACTCCACCAGCCTGGTCGCATTGAGCAAGAGGTGCTGGCGTAGAGGGCCTTCCTCGAGCTGCCGAAGGACGATGCCGATCCTCATGGAGGCTGTGATGGCCTCGCCGCTCCTCTGCTCGTACCTGAGGAGCTCTCGCTCGAACAGCGCCAGCCAGTCCTCGACATCGCCAGCGAACGAGAAGTTCAAGAGATTCAGCAGCTGCCCCGCGATGCGGGACCTCGCATTCGGTTCGTAGTATTCGACCAGCTTGCGCCAAGCCTGGAAGCCCTCATTCTCGCCAGCATTCACGATCGTCGTCAGGAGATGCTGCCGGCAGAGGAGGAGCAAGATGTAATACAGCTGCTGCGAGGCCTGCCCCATGTTCTCCTCGAGGAAGTCATCGTTCTGAACTGAGGCCTCGTCAGCGCTCTCTGCCAGTCGCATCCCTGCCAGCAAGTCGGCGTTCACGACGCCACAGTGCGCCTTGAAGATCACCTTCCAATCGTTCCACTTGTGCTCTTCGCCCGTGAACACGTCTGGCTTGCCCAGCGCGCGGGTGTCCACGAGCGACTCGGCTCGAGGCTGCGGCACAGGCCCGTCCACCCGTGGTCTAGCCTCGGCCACACGGCCGAGCCGCTGCACCTCAGCCGTGAGATCGTTCTCCCTCTGCTGGCGGTTCTGCAGCTCCTGGGCCAGCGCTATCATCTGCTGCTCTAGAGCATGCACGCGCTCCTCCGCCATCTCAGCGGCGGTTCGCGCGCAGCTTCGTGAAATCCTTCAGGTGCTAGCCCAGCGCTGCCCAGGTCCTCCTCAGCCTGAACAGCTTGCGTAGCTGCCTCGCCACTCTCCTCCAGCCTCGATGGACCTCGACGAGCTCCCACTCGTCGCCCTCGTTGGAGCTGGGCCCGGCAGGCCCTGCTGCGGCTCCCGCACCGGCGGCCAGCCCCAGGCTGCTGGGGTTCTCCGCGCCGCTGGCGGGAGAGGGAGCCGCGGAGCCCGACCCTGTGGACTGGGAGGGTCGGGACCACGGCTCCGCTACCATGGCGAGATCGTTTCTTCGGATGCTTGCCTTGAGCCATACCAGCAATGGCATGATCTCTGTCAGTAAACCTGCTGGGGGTCTCTGGATTCCTGCAATTAGGGAATAAATCTGACCTGTACACTTTCGAAGGTCCGCGCGGAGTTCTCGGATCGGCGCTGGCTCCACCCACCCCCCGCTCGCGGAGCGCTCCAAGGGCGGCGCCAGAGGTGGGCCCGTGATTTTGTCGCCCTGGCGGGCGCGTCTCACCCGCCGGGTGCAGACAGACAGATCCAGACCCCCGACGTCACGACTTTGTCACGGCGATGACCTGGAGAGGTCTCGAATCCATCCTCCTGGGCTGGCCATCCGTCCTGAACCGTTTTGTTGATGGTCTCCGGGGCCCGGTACGGGCCAACACAAAAAAAAATAGCCGTGATTTTTGTTGCGACGCGAAGGGGTCTGGGGACATCGAGCTAAGGTGAATTCGGCCAGCCGCGTCAGCAAGCAACAGATCTCGGAGGAGGGCAAGCTGCCCCGCCAGACCCGAATCAGCTCAACTCGGCCCCCAGGCCTTTCCCGGGGTCCATCCTGATCCGTGTTTTGGCGGATCCAGCCACGGCGAAGAAAGCCTCCAGGATGCCCAAAGAGGACGAAGAACGCCAGAGAGGGCCGTCAGGGTCTCGACTGGCCCTCCTCCAAACGGAACGTCCGTCGTCAAGGCGCGGGGGCGTCCTCTCACCCACCTGCGGCCCCGCCAGGCGGCTAGCGGATAGGCGGTGAGAGAGCGGAGAGGGAAGGGAGGACCTGGCAGACAGAAGAAAGGGGCGGGCGACGGGACGGGAGGGATCCTCCTCGTCCTCCTCCTCCTCCTCCTCCTCCTCCTCCTCCTCCTCCTCCTCCTCCTCCTCCTCCTCCTCCTCCTCCTCTGAATTTTCTTCCTCCTCCTCATCCTCCTCCTCCTCCTCCTCCTTTCCCTCCTCCTCCTCCTCCTCCTCCTCCTCCTCCTCCTCCTCCTCCTCCTCCTCCTCTCTCCTCCTCCTCCTCCTCCTCCTCCTCCTCCTCCTCCTCCTTCTCCTCCTCCTCCTCCTCCTCCTCCTTCCCTCTCCTCCTCCTCCTCCTCCTCCTCCTCCTCCTCCTCCTCCTCCTCCTCCTCCTCCTCCTCCTCCTCCTCCTCCTCCTCCTCCCTCCTTCCTTCTCCTCCCTCCTCCTCCTCCTCCTCCTCCTCCTCCTCCTCCTCCTCCTCCTCCTCCTCCTCCTCCTCCTCCTGCTCCTCTCAGCTCGGCAGGAAGGGGCGTATGGAAAGGGCGAGGTACGAGATCTGGTGCAGAAAGCTGGGTTTGGCCACGCAGCCAGGCACGTTCCCCGGAAGCACGAACCTGCCGCAATGCTCCGCCATCCGCCTCCGCTGCAGCCCGCCGACCTGCGGCTTTGGCCACACCGGACTGGCAGAGCGGAGCAGGGCCCTCACCCCTCGGGCGCCGCCGCCGCCGCCTGGGCCGCGCCCCGCACCAGCGAGGACCGCCGCTTTGACCGCCGCCGCGAGGCCGCCTGCTTGTCCAGCTTCTCCAGGGCGCGCCTTTGCGCAGAAGGCCCCTCTGTGCGACACCGCCGTGCTTCTTGCCACGGCCACCCTGGGCCCTGGCACAGTGCACATGCCCTCCCTGGCCCAAGCCTGGAGGAACTGTACGCCATCCTTGCGGCCAAGGCTAGCCCTGTCTAGGAGCGGTGGTGCACAGATGCTCTCTGCGGAACGCCTGACGTCAGCCAGAAAGGCGCCCCACACGCCGAAGAACTCGTCCGTCGCCTTGCGCAGCGCGGCCTCTCAGGACCCGAGAACCACGCGCCGCCCGAAGGCTGCGATCATTTTTTCCCCAACCCTCCTGTGTGTTGGGTCCTCGTTTTGAATTCGCATCGCCGCGCGTCTCCTTCCCTCCCTCCTTCCTCCTCCTCCCCCTCGTGTGTGCTGTCTTGGGCCCTGTAGAGAGCTCCGCCGAAGGCCCCGCTTGCATCAACGATCAACACGACTCAAGGCACCACGTTCGGCGTCACCGTAAGGAGCTCCACCGAAGGTTCCAGTGGCAGGGTTCGCATGCGCACCCGGGTCCATCTCGGCACACCCTTCGCACGTTTGCGGCAACATAGGGAGCTCCACCGAAGGCTCCAGTGGCAGGATTCGCATGCGTACCCGGGTCCATCTCGGCACACCCCTCGCACGTTTTTGACAACATAGGGAGCTCCACCAAAGGCTGCAGTGCCAGAGTTCGCATGCGTGCCCGGGTCCATCTCGGCACACCCCTCGCACGTTTGTGGCAACATAAGGAGCTCCACCGAAGGCTCCAGCGGCAGGGTTCGCATTCGTACCCGGGTCCATTTCGGCACAGCACATCACTCACACGCTTCGTAGCCCCATAGGGTGCTCCACCGAAGGCTCCGGTAATTAGCAGGTTCGCATGCGTACCCGGGTCCGTTTCGGCAAACCCTCACACGCTTTGTGACCCCATAGGAAGATCCACCGGAAGCCTCAGTGGCAGGGTTCGCATGTGTACCAGGGTCCATTTCGGCACACCCTCACACTCTTCGTGGCCCCATTGGGAGCTCCACCGAAGGTTCCAGTGGCAGGGCTCGCATGCGTGACCAGGTCGATTTCGGCACACCGTAGGGAGCTCCGCCGATGGCTCCAGTGGCAAGGACACCCTCACACGTTTCGTGGCACTATAAAGACCTCCGCCGAAGGCCCCTGTGGCAGTGTTCGCACCGGGGCCCATTTGCTCTACCGAGGGCCTCAGTGGCAGGGTTCGCACGCAGTGCCCTCATGTCGGTTCACCGCTCACGTGTTTCGTGGCCCCATCGGGAGTTCCACCGAAGGCCCCAGTGGCAGGGTTCGCATGCAGTTTCACCCTCATTTGGGCGCACCCCTCCTCGTGTCCGATTTGAGACGTGCGACTGCGTGCGTGAATGGAACGGATTGAAATGTAGTTTTCCGTTTCTTGGCGAGGCGTCCAGGAGTATTGCAGATCCTTTAGTGCGCTCGTGTGCATTAAACGTTCCTGCGACTGGTCGCCATTCCTGTACAATGGGTTGGGTTCTTCGCCAGGGTAGTTGTCGATGCCACCACACCAAGGTGGCCACAAGATCAGCCAAGAGAGCTACTTCACGATGGATCCCCGAGGGCAGCCTTTAAAACCTCCACAGTGCGGTGACCTCGAAATCCCTCAAGACCTCACCGCACGGTCCGTCACCGCACGGTCTTGGGACCCCAGAGGCCCCTGTCGCCCGAGACATCCTGGGAGAACGACCCGAATCCCAAAACCGTGCGGTGACCCCGAATCTCCACCGACTTCCCGCACGGTGTGGTCACCACCCCGTTTGGGGGCCCCCGAGTCTAACATCGCGCCACTGGGCGGGGAGGGACAAGAAAGGAAAAGAAAGAAGAACGGGGCAGGAAAGGAGGGAGGGAAGGAAAAGAAATAAGAACCACCACAATCCCCAAGACCTCTCCTGGGGCTCTGACCAGGGCTCCGAGGCGGATTCGACCGTGGCGGCGAAAGCCCCCCCCCCCGGGAGGGCCCAAGAAGGGCCACAAACGAGGGAAGGGCATCGGCATCGGCATCGACATCGGCCTCTGCGTGGAACCAGGCGCACAGCTCCCCGTACTCGGCGCCCCAACCGTCGAGCCTTGCCTGGAGCTCCCGCAGCCGGCACTGCCGGTCGGCCATCAGCGCCCGCCGCCGCATCAGGGGGTCGCCCTGCTGCGAGGCGCTGGTGTCCAGTCGGCGGAGAAGGGCGCCGGCCTCGCCCACGAGCTGCGAGAGCTCCTCCTGCAGGAAGCCGACCTTGCAGGAGGCACCCAGCAAACCAGCGCCGTGCCTCGCCAGGCCCATCCTGGGCCTTGGAGCGCGGTGGCATACGCACTCCTGGCCGAGGCCAAGAAGACCCACAGTCCAGGGCGGCCCTGGCCAGGCGCGGCGGCGGTGTGACAGATGCCGTCTGCGGAGGCCTTGTGCTTGCACGCGCACTCCACCCGGTCGAACTCGTTCCCAGGGGCGAACATGTCCCGCAGGACGCCGGGCGAATCTCGCTCCATCTGCTCCACGATGAAGTCCAGCAACGTGTTGCCGCCCGCGGACCGCAGCTGAGCCACCTCCACAGGCTCGGTCTGCACCGAGAAATCGGATCGCTTCGACATGCGCGTCGGATCGGGCTGCATCGGCACGGAGTCGAGATCGAATCCCATCGGCCGCGCCAGTGTCCACAACAGGGCCGTGCAGGCATCGTGCTGCACTGGATCGCCGAATACCAGAATCGAGTCGGGTCATGCTGGCCAGAGTCGGTATCGAATCAGGTCGATCGGATCGAAATGGACCCCGATGGCTTTCGGACAAGAATTCGGGCCTCAGCAGCCGTTCGGGACGGTCCGGGCACCCCCGGGGGCTTCCGACGAGGCGCAGCTGATGGGAATCCACCCCGGGCCCCGAAGACGTCCGAAAGCCGTGAAAAAACCGCCTCAATTCTCGAAAACCTCCGGACACCTTCACCAGCGTGCCCAGCTCGAAGCCGTCGGCGCGGCCGCGGGCGGTGCCGCCGTTAAGGTAGTTGCCCACGTGCAGCACCAGCGCGAGGAGCCGCTCCAGGCTCGCGGAGCCACGGAGGCAGCAGGCCGCGGCCCGCAGGGCGCTCTCCCCGGCCGCCAGCCGCCGGAACGCGGCGTCGAAAGAGTTCAGGAAACCCCAGACCTGCGGGCAGGACCAGTCAGCAACGTATCGAAAGGCGAGGATCGCCCCCCCCCGCCCCACCCCCCCAACAAAGAAACTATGCGGCCAGTCTGTCGCTGTTTTTCACCTGTGGAGGCCGCATCTAGACTCAAAATGAAAGGCTGGCCCAGCGAAGGGGCAGAATCGGTCAGCATCGATGTCGGAAGATCGGGCCGAATCGGACTCGGATCGACTCGGAAGCAGCGTCAGATCGGGCCACATCGGCACGGAGTCAGAATCGAGCCGGATCGGCCGCGCCAGGATGCACAGCAGCGGCGTGCAAACGTCGGACCGCATCGCATCGTCGGAGCATCGTCAATGCGGATCGGACTGGATCGAGCCGGAGTCGATGCCGGATCCAGATCGGGTCAGTCTGGGCCCCGACCTGCAGGCGCAGCGCGTACTCGGGGATCGCCGTGAGCGCGAGCAGGAAGTCCTCGGGCACGTCCCAGGCCTCGCCGCCCCCCAGCGCCGCGGCCCGCGCGCCCTCCAGCGCGGCCTCCTCCGCCTGCACGGCGGCACGCGCGAGGGAGGCTGCAGGAGGCGAGGGGGGCCATGCCCTCCCAGACGGCGGGGGGGGGCGAGGAGGGCGGGCGGGCCGCTCCGAGGCCCTCCGGGCCTCTGCGAGCCCCTCCTGCGGAAGCCTCCGGGCCCTTCCAGGGGGGCCCCAAGCCCGCATTCGAGTGCGATGAAGAGACAAACACGTGAGCATGAGCTGTCAAGAGTCCGCGTCGCCTTCTCGGATCGGCGCTGGACCTCCACGCCAGGGGCGGCGCTGGAGGCGCCGGATGACGCGGCGACGACGCTAGAGCGGGCGTTCAGAGTTGAATTTCCAACGTCGGCGCTGGCCCTCCGCCACCCCCTGAGCGGCGCCTCGGGCGCTCCGCGAGGGGAGGGGGGTCCAGCGCCGATCCGAGAAACTCGCGCGGACCCTCGAAAGTATATCATGCTGGTTTTTAAATTCTAAATCAGAAGCTCCGTGACCACCGCCTTCCTGGAAAGCCATCCCGCCGCGCCACCCCCCTTGATCGCGCCGCCAAGGCCTGGGAGGGCAGGTTCAGCAGCAGCAGGTCCACCTTGTCCGGCTCGAGCACATCGGCATCCAGCGAGGCCACGGCGTCCAGCAGAGCGGGCCTGTCGGGCATCAGCGCCAGCATGCACCACACCTGCCGCCGCCGCCGCCACAGTTGTCGTCGCCGTCGTCGGCGCCAACGTCGTCGCTGCCGCTGGCCGCCGTCGTCGTCGCCGCCGTCACCACCGTCGTCGCCGTACCCAGATCCGCCACCGTGCCGCATCGGTAAAGCGTCCTCAGGCTCTCAGCAGTCTCCAATGTGGAGTGTTGCCATTATCGTAAGGGCCCCAAGCCCCGAACTCACAGGCGCTCACGCGTGCACTCGGGCGATCTTGCGGTTCGTCGCATGACTTTTGTCCGAGGCTTCCGAAGCGGGGTTGAGAACACATACTTCTAACATCTAGAATATGCGAGGATGGGCACAGGGGCCGTTTTGGGGCTCTCAGGAAGTCTCCTGAGGCAAAAGTCGCCAAGCAGAGTGCCTCAACTGGTCCCCAAGAGGCAACTGTTAGGGCTCCAGCGAAGCGCATAGGAGGAGGCCTCCCCCATCCCTGCAATACAGGGCCGTCAGGCCAGATATGAGACAAGCCATTCGGCCTATCGCGCTGGCGCCGCTGGCTCCTATGTGATCCATGTCCTGAAAGATTGCCCCAAAATGGCCTGCATCATGCGTCCAAGAGGCGAAGGAACCGCTCCCAGACGGCTCCAAGTGGCCACTGAGTCTCCCAAAGATGCCCCCGAGAAACTATACTTCCAAAGCCAACGGGAACCCAATCTGGTTTGTGTTCTCGCATATTCGCTTCCTAAGGGCTTGATGGGCCTCAAGATGGCTCCAAGATCGCCCAAGAGAGACCCAACAAGACGGCCCAAAGAGCACCCAAGAGCGCTCCAAGAGCGCCCCAAGAAGCCCCCCAGAGGCGACTTGTGACATGTGGGTATCTAGCGGGAGAGGCAACTTAAGGAACCCCCTCACTGATCGATGTCCTCCAAAATGGCAGCGAGAGGACCCCCAAGAGGGACCCCAAGAGGGCCCCAAGGGAGCCAAAGAGAGCCCCGAAGGCTTCCGAAATTACCCAAAGATGGCCCCAAGATGGCTACGAAAGTCCGCAAAAAGCGTCGTGAGCGAAAAATCCGCGAGAATTGTTTATGGCCGACTCCAGTCGCCGTCGTCATCGAACCCGTAAATCTGACAAATTGGATAAGCATGGGTTCCATAAAACATATGAACATGTAAGAGCAGTGGCAACCTGGATATGGTGCGGTCCAGTTTCTACGTCCAAAGGCCTCGACAGCTCCAAAATGGCCCCGAGACCTCCAATAGGCTACGAGATGTCCCCAAGCTCACCGTTGCTGCTCTCTCTCTCCCTCTTTCTGTTTCCCGGTGTGTTTCTCTGTTCCCCCGAGGCAGAGGAGACGACAGGCCGAAGCAAGAGGGGTCGGCCGACCAGGCCGGAAGAGAACCAGCGGCGCCAGCAGACCGCCGAGAAGAGGAGGCCCAGGCAGGAGAAAGGCCTAGGAGGAAGAGGTGGAGGTAGAGGAGGAGGGCGGCAAGCGAGGAGGATGCAGGGAAGGTGGCAGAGGGCGAGAGCAGGAAGGAGGAGGAGGAGGCGGAGATAGAAGAGGGCGACAAGCGAGGAGGCAGAGGAGAGTGAAAAGGGTGAGAGCGAGGAGGAGGCAGCTGAAGGGCGAGTGCGATGGCGAGGTGGCGGAGGTGGAAGGGGGGGTCAGCCCCAGGTTGCGCGCTCTTCGAATGAGAGCGCCTGTTGCACTGTGCCGTGCGCTCCATCATCCGGGGCCTCGGTATACCAATATATATATATATATATATATATACATATATATACATATATATGACTATGAAGGCATACATACATACATGCATGCATGCATCCCTACCTGCATGCCTGCAGGCATGCATGCATGCATGCATGCATACATACATACATACATGCATACATGCATGCACGTGTACCTGCAGACATGCATACGTGCTTACATGCATTCATGCATGCACACATACCTACATGCATACATGCATGCATGCATACGTGCAGATATACAGACACGCATACACACATACGTACGTGCATACATGCATGCATACAAACGTGCATGTATACATACATACAGGCACACATCCGTACATGAATACATGCATGCACACATGCATGCCTACAGACATACAGACACTCATACATACACACATACATACATACATACATACATACTTACATGTATACCTACATACATAGAAACATACCTACATGCATACATAGATACATACATACATACATACATACATACATACATACAGACATACATACATACATACATGCATGCATGCATGCATGCATGCATGCATGAATGAATGCACACATACATACATACATACATACATACATACATACATACATACATACGTACATACATACATGCATACATACATGCATACAGCTAAACGTGTGTATATAGACATGCATACACACGTGCGTACATACATGCATGCAAGCACGTATGCATACATGCGTGCAAACATGCGTGCACACATATACGTGCATACATACACACATGCATACAGATGCATAGATGCATGCACACATGCATACATGCATACATACATGCATACATGCATGCATGCATGCATATATGCATATATACACATGCATACGTAGATGCAAACATACAAGCATACAAATGTGCATGCATGTATGCATGCATGCGTGCATGCATAAACACATACATACATACATGCATACATGCATACCTACCTACCAACCTACCTACATACCTATCTAGCTATCTACCTACATACATACATACATACATACATACATACATACATACATACAAACATACATATGAAAATACATCCATATATACACATATACACATCCTCATCATCGTCGCCGCCGTCGGTCGCTGCCGCCGCCACCGCCGACCCTCAAGCCTCGAACCTCGAGCCTCGGCAGCGACGTCGTGCGTCGAGCGTCGTCCGTCGACCGCCGTGCGCCGCGCCCTCCACCCCGTCGTCCGCCGCCATCGGGCCACAGCCGCCGCCGCCGCCAATTGCCAACGATGACGCAGCCGCCGCCGACGCCGCCGTCCGTCGCCAGCCAACCGCCACCCGTCCTGCGCCGCCGCCGCCAAGGGCCGCAGCCGCCGATCGAGCGGGCCGCCGATCGGCCCGTCGGCGGCCGATGCCACCGATCGGGGCGCCGCGCGCGCCTGCCGGCGGCGCCCCTCCTCCAGCAGGCGGCGCCTCGACGGCCGCCTGGGCGGCGGCGCGGCCGTGGGCTCCCGCTGGCCAGCGCTCGGGGCGGCGTCTGCGAAGCGGGCCTCGAGCTCCTGCGGACTCTCTCGAGGTTAGAGGGCACCGTGGCGTCTTCCCCACATCCTGAAGTATAGGGCCCCTGTCTAGCAGTGGCGGGCCCCCTTCTTCACACTCCTCCCTCCTGCTCCCCACCCATATTCACTCCAACTCGGATTCAGCTACTCAGTCCGACTCACTCACGCTCAGACTCGCCCACTCAGAATCGCTGAACTCAGACTGCCTCATATGCAAGCTCGCTCACATACAGACATCCATATCAGACTGACTACGACTCACTCAGTCGGACTCACCCATACCCTAGCCCACTCATACGCAGATCCATGCGTACTCATATTGACTCACACTTAGACCCACTTGCACTGGGATTCGCATACACTCACAGCAATCACACTCAGACCCACCCATACTCGACCTCACCTACGAGCAGGGTCGCTCATAGTGGACCCCACCCATACTCAGAGTAGGTCGTATTCAGTCTCGCCGCGGGGTAGCACGCATGGCAATTGGGCCTCCCACGGGGGAGCCGCCAGGGGACGGATGCAGCTGCAGCTCGAGAAGATCCAGCGGAGCTTGGCCCAAAGATACAGGTGGGCTACATGCACCTGGCAGCCGCTGGGGAGTTCTGCGACGAGTCCCACCAGAGAGCTACACTGTTCACGATGGTGGGCACAGGCAGTAGAGCGCAGTGGTAGTACCCAAGAAAGGACGAGAAGAGACAATATTACGATACAACCTGCCTCGGGCGTGGTCATCAGGAGCGACGACGTAACGGGTCTGGTGGGCATGGTGGACTACATACTATGTAGTCCACCATACGCTGTTGCACTATGTTACATAGTGCAAAAGCGGAAACCAGCTAAGACGACGGAGCAGATCATCACGAGAGCAGAGCATGAACAAGTGGGCATGGTGGATCGTTTTCATCGGAATCTGCAAGGTCAACTTCGTGCTCTACGATCCGACTTTAGAGCTCGCTGTTCTCACGATCGTGTTCCTGAGGATGTGTTGTTTCTATGGATGGTTCGCCAGACGGCTTGGATCATCAACAAGTATCAGATACACGAGCGGACCAAGGCGACGGCCTACCCTGAGAGGATAAGCATACACGTCCAAAATCGCGACGTTCGTGGAGCGCGCGATGATCCGGGTTCCCGTCAAGCCCGAGGGCGTGCGAGAGAAGCAGAAGGTGCAGTGGACGAAGGGTGCGTGGGTCCGACGCATGAAGAGTTGCGATGAAAGCTTAATGGCAACGTTGGAGAGAACAGCCTGGCTCAGACAGCTCTCGTGCGCATCCTACCCCTGGAGGTGCCGAGCCGAGTGGTGGCACAGGCCCCTGGAGAGATCAGGAGGTGATCGACACGCCAGAAGCCAGCGCGCAACTGATTGGAGGCGGAGGCTCAACCATGGGTGACGACGGCAGGGACATTGGAGTCAGCCCCAGCATCGGCGATGAATGTGGCTGGTGGAGCCGAGGAAGCAATTGGCGATGCCATGGCTACGGACGCTCAAGGTCTGCGGAGGTCGGCCGAAAGCGAGGACACAAGGATACGACTACGATTCAATCAGACGGTCTCAGCGACGCAGGCTGAGCGCGAGGTCAACGACGGGCTCACGAAGGAGATACTCCACCCGCAGCGCTTCGAGGTTTGCGTCCAGACATCGAGAGGCGTGGAAATTAACGCAACAGGTGCAAAGGTACTCACTGACACGTTGGTGGACCCCCCGCACAAGCAAAAGTCGCGTTACTGTGCTAGGCCCACGGTTCTCTCGCCGCAGCAAGCAGGGAGGCGGCAATTTCCATGGTGGATACGCTTGCGGTCAGGAAGAGATACCCTCAAATTGGTTTCGACGCAGTGTCTGCGTTCACACAAGCAACAGAGGAGGAGCTCATGGTCATTTAGCCACCACCCGAGTACCAGAAGGATTGCGAGAAGAAGACGGCGTTGCAGTGCCTGAGGACCATCTACGGCAGGAGAGCGGGAACTCGAATCTGGCAGGATCACTGACAGAGTCATTTCCCGAGCGCGACCAAGTCCAAGGATTGCAAGTTCAACGTCGCCCAGGACAGTTCCACAGCAAGGAGGGAGACACTTCGATCGGCCTGCGAATAGACGACGGCATGACGACGGGCCCCAGCAAAAGCTCATCACAGCTCAAGAGTTACATGGACGGCAAGCTGGACCTGGAGTGGACAGAGGAGCTGTGGCCAGGTACTGAGCAGAAGCATCTGGGTGCGTCGCAGACCAGGACCAAAGAGGAACTGATCATCCATGCCCACACGAAGTACATCGACACGAGTTTGGCCGACATGGGCCAGGACCGCCCCAGAGGATTCACGATGGCTCCAAGAGGGTCCAAGAGGGTTCAAGTTGCATCCAAGTTCGCCCAAGAAGCCTCCAAGACTGCCCAAGACGGCCAAGAGGCTCCCAAGAGGCCTCCAAAGAAGCCTTCAAGAGGTTCTCCAGGAGGGCCCGAAGAAGGCAATATCACTCTTAGGTTTTTGGCACACGCTTCTTTCCAGCCTTACGACGGCCCCCCGTCAGCCGAAGATGCGCTCAAGATCGTTCCAAGACGGCCCCAAAGGTCTCCAAGATGAGCCCGGGGCGGCCCGGGAAGTCTACGAGACGGCGCCAAGAGGGCCTCCAAGTTCGCCCAAGATTGTCCAACATGGTCTCGAAGACAACCCAAGAGGGTCCAAAATGGCCTCCAAGGCTGCGCCAGAGGGTCCAACATGGCTTAAAGTCCGCCCAAGAAGCCTACAAAACTGCCCAAGACGGCCCAGAGGCCCTCAAGAGGCCTCGAAGACGGCCAACGAGGCCTCCAAGAGGTCTCAGGAGGGCCAGAAGAAATCAAAATCACTGATTTTCTTGTTCTTGAAAGATTGCGGCATTTCCTTCTCTGCAGTCTTCCGACAGCCAAAGACGGCCCAAGAGGCTCCGAAGAACGCCCAAAAATCGCCCGAGAATCCGCCAAGATGGCCCCATGCCGGCCCAAGAGGCCGCCAACACGACCCCAAGAAAGCCCGTAGGCAGCCCAAGAGGCCTCCAAGACTCCCAATATGGCCTCCAAGACTGCACTGAAAATCTACAAAAAGGACCCAAGATGGCTCAGGGAGGCTCCCAAGACGGCTTCCGACCGGGTCAGACTGGCCAGGAACGTCCCTCAGAAAGCACCCAAAACGCTGTCCACAGGCTCTCCAGAAGCCCAAGGGGACCCCCAAGAGGCCTCCAAGAAGCTCCCAGGAAGCCCTTAGGAAGCTCAAATAGTGCCCCTAGAGGCCAATGATATCGCCTCAATATCGCCCAAAACGGATCCAAGATGGCCTTGAAGCGCCCCGAGAGGACACAACGTCGGTTCAGAGACGTCCCAAGACGGCTTCCCATGGCGTCGGACCGACGAAGAGTTTTCTAGGACGGCCACAGAGAAGCCCAAGAAGACATCTCCAGAAATCTCAACTGAGGCATCAAGAGTTTCCTAAAAGCCCCCCGAAAAAGCCCCCCAGAGATCCCCTCTTCTCCTCCTCCTCTCCTTCTCCTCCACGTTCCCCTGCGTTGCCCTTGTCCTTTTCCCGTGGTCTCTCTCTCTCTCTCTTTCAATCTCTCTCTCTCTCTCTCTCTCTTTCTCGCTCTCTCTCTCTCTCTCTCTCTCTCTCTCCCCGCCGAGACTTTCGCGGAGATGCCGAATCGGGCCTCTTCTCGGCGGCCTCGAAGTTCGCAACCCAGCTTTTCCAGAACCTTCTCGTCTCCTGCTCGGCTTTCTTCAGCTCGGGTTGCTCCGCTCCCCACGCTCCCCACTCCGCCGCGGAGTTGGTGTTTCCTGTTTTTGCTTTTGTTGGCCTGCAGCGCGGCGTTCAGGTCGTCGGCGGCCTCGAGGGCGCGCTCGTTCTTGCCGTCGGCGCGGAGGAATTCGTCGCCCTTCCTCTCCAGCTCTTCGAGGGCGGCCTCTGCGGAGTCGAGGCGGCCCTCGAGGTCGGCGTCGAGGCATCCCCAGCGTCTGCGCTGCCGGGGCAGACCAGAGATGGACTCCGCAGGATGCATATGAGACCCTGGCGCTGCACGCGCGCGCGCAATGTGTCTGCGCGTTTTCCTATGCGCGGCTTAGCGCGGTGCTTTCTGCGTGGTCGCGCGGCGCTGCGCGCGCCAGGTTTCACGCGCACCCTGGCGTATGTTTCCAGTACGGAGCCTCCTGGTAGTTCACCTCCGCCGAGGGCGACGGCGCGCTGCCTGCTGCTGCTGGGTGTTTAGCTGGTCGCGCAGAGCCTCAGCCTCGGCGCGCGCCGCTGTGGCGGCACCAAGGTGGCAGTCGCGGTTTGCCTCGGCAGTCGCCTCCGCCGCGACGAGGGACTCCGCCTTCTCCTGCGCCAGCGCCTGCGCTGCCTCTGCTGCTGCTTGCGTCTCCCTTGCGTTCGCCGCCGCAGCCAGCGCCTCCTCTGCCGCGCCCGTCGCCGCCGCTGTCTGCTCCTCACCGGCTGTCGGCTGGTTCGCCAAATGCACCAGACCTGGGCCTGGCGGGGCGAAGATGTCGAACTCTTCTTCGACAGGGTCGGTCTGGGCTCCCCGGGAGCGGCGCGGGCGCGTGGGGCTCATGTAAACGCGGTGCCGGGGCCTGGCGTTCATTGCCAGCTTCAGCCTGAACGTCGTCGGGGTCGTCGTCGTCGTTGTCGTTTTCGCTGCTTCCTTGCGGCGCTGCAGGGACCGGAGCGGCCCGAGGGCGTCATCGTCGTCGTTTTCGCTGCTCCCTTCTGGCCCTGCAGGGATCCTCGAGCGCTCCCAGGGAACCACGCCGACGGCGACGACGACGACGGCTCCCTCGAGCGCTCCAAAGCAGCCACACGACGGGGGGCGCCTAGGAGCGCTCGGGGGCGCCTAGGAGCGCTCGGGAGCGCCTCTGCGGGCGGACTCTGTAAGGGCTGGTTCCCGGGGCGCCCTGGGAACGCTTGGGAGCGCCTAGGGGCGCCTGGGAGAGCCTGGGAACCCGAGTCCGCCGAACTCATTTTACAAGCGCGCGCCTTTGTGGGCGAACTCTGCGAGGAACGTTTTCAGGCCGAGGAACGCCTGGGAACGCATGGGACCGCCTGGACGCCCCTAGGGCCGCTTGGAAATGCTTTTGGATACCTGAGAGCGCTTGAGCACGCTGGAGAACGACCGGGAAAGCCTGGCAGCGCCTGGGAGCGCGGGGGAGCGCTTGGAGGCGTTTGGAAGCGCCTGGATACGCCCCGCCCCCTTGGCAAAGGGGAGCCCCGGCTTACATCGGGCTCCAGAAAAGGAGGGAGGGGGGGGAGCTTCGAAGGCCCCCCCCGTTTCCAGCACCAAAACAAGAGGGAGGGGGGGGGGCCGACCCCCCCCCTCGGCAAATGGGAGCCCAGGCTTACCTTGGGCTCCAGAAAAAGAGGGAAGGGGGGTGGTAGCTTCGAAGCCCCCCCCTTCTCCAGCACCAAAAAAGGAGAAAAGGAGGGAGGGGGGGGTCCGAAGTCCCCCCCCCTTTGGCAAAGGGGAGCCCAGGCTTACCTCGGGCACCGGAAAAGGAGAGAGGGGGGTAGCTTCGAAGCCACCCCCCTTTCCAGCACCAAGAATGGAGGGAGGGGGGTGGTTTCCGAAGCCCCCCTCTTTAACATGGAAGGGGGGGTAGCTTGAAGCTGGGGCCCCCCCTTTTTGGCCGTCACCAAGCGCGCGCGTTTTCACAGCTATTGCCACAACGCTCGGCCACATGGGCGACTCTATAAGGCAGGGAACGGAGGTGATTCGCCGTAGGCGTCTTCGATAACGCAAACATCCCAATATGCGCTGATGATTCCTATCCGCCCCCGCAAGGTGTTCCCAGATGTGCCAAGGCAGCGCCGAAACGCACCGCCGCGACCCTGATATACAAATTATGATAGCGAAAGGGTCAGCGGCAGGGGACTAAGCCGTTTGTTTACTGACATGTAGATATGTATATACACACATACACATACATACATGCATACATACATACATACATGCATGCATGCATGCATGCATGCATGCATGCATACATACATACATACAAACATACATACATACATACATGCATGCATACATACATACATACATACATACATACATACATACATACATACATACACACACACATACGTACGTACGTACGTACGTACATACGTATATACGTACGTACGTACATACGTACATACACATACCCATACCCATACACATGCACATACACATACACATACACATACACATGCACATGCATGCATGCATGCATACACACATACATACATGCATGCCTGCATACATGCATACAAATACATACATACATACATACATACATACATACATAAATACATACATACATACATACATACATACATACATACATACATACATACATGTATACATCCATACATACATACATACATGCATGCATGCATGCATGCATGCATGCATGCATGCATACAGATATACATGCATACATGCATACATACATACATATATATACATATTTATACATATATACATATATGCATACATACATACATACATATGTGTGTACACATGCATGCATACATACACACACATGCAGATAGACACATACACGCATTACATATATGCATCAATACACCTATGCATATATAACTACATACATATATATATATACACGTATATACTTGTATACAAATGGACATAATTGCATAAGCACCGATATAAATATGTACACCTATCGGCATGTACACATTGAAAGAGAGAAAAAGGGAGATCCATTATTATTCTGACTCACTCACTTCCAACCTCACTGACGCTCGAACCCACTCACACCGGCACCAGCTCATACTCTGAACTCATTGCACCCAATCACTAATAGATAGAGTCAGTCCCGCACAAACTGGCGTCTACAATGGGAGGTACTAGTTTATCTTGATTGAATCGGGTCCTTGTGATTTCCTCCCATAAATGCTGGGTTTCTTCACCAGAGTCCGAGCAACGCAAAATAGAAATGGAGAACGAGGAAACCAGAAAGAGATAGAAACAAAGAGCCCCGGCTGTCCTCCGCGTCGAAGGACGCACCGTCCCCCAGGTGGATTTTCTCCCACACCGTCTGCCTCGGGCACGGCGGAGATTCAGCGCCCGATCTCTCCCTTGGAGGAAGGGGGATTGAAAAGAAAAAGAATGAGGAGGAGGAGGACGAGGACGAGGATGAGGAAGAGGAGAATGAGGAGAACGACGGCATCCGTCCCAGGGCCACTGCGACCCTCTCCCGCGCTGGAGGTCGAGGTTCGAAAATCGAGAATTGAGGACGCCTCGTGCGGTTGAAAACAACGGGGCTGGCCATTCGAATGTCGTGCCGTCACAACCTCCCATACCCATTACTCCTACTACGGCGGTTATCTTCCTTCTCCTCATCATACTCGTCCTCACCATATCATCTCCTCATCCTTCGCCTCCACATCTGCACGCTGCTTTTGGGAGCCCTCAGGCAAAACACTTGTCCGCCGTCGGCAAAGCAGAATGGCTGCACCAGCGATGGATAAACGGGGGCACCGAAAAGCGAATTGGCCAGCATGCAGGGGGGGGAAGAGGACGGACAGAGCGGCCGCGGAAAGGGGAAAGAGACGGGGCCACTCACAGGCGGAAGACTTCCGTCCCGAGTGAGCTGGCGCGACTGGCCCCGTCAGCGGAGACCACGGCAGCAGCTGGGCCGCAGCGCCAGGGCACCCACGGGCGATGACGGGGCCCAGTACGAGGAACAAGTGCTGCAATGATGCCGTCGGCGAAGTAGAGGTACTTGCACGTCAGGAAACATGCCGCCCAAATGGGTAGCAGGTAGTCAAGGTACGGCAACTCCGCGAGCAGCCTAGGCTTCAGAGAGCCACCAGCAAATGCTGGGACCGTGAGATCGTGCTGGCAGCAAGACCAGGCTGGCACTGAACGCAGGGGGAGCGGCCCGCTGCGGCAGCGGCATGGGCGCCATGGCGGCGCGCGGCAGGAAGGGGAGAAAGACACGGGAAAGGAGGGGAAGAGGGCAGGGAGAAGGAGCGCGGGGCGCCAGTCCAGGCGCCAACGCCCGTCTGAGCTGGAGGCAGGCGGCGCACTCTGTGATGCGGGCGCTGCCCCGGGAGGGCAGGGTAGGGGCGCCCGCCGTGCGGCCGTCCAGCAGGGGGCTGCGGAGCGGGCGTACAGCCAGGAACACGACTGCGGCCAAAGCCATGGGGCCGCGCGCTGCCGTGGTGGGCAGCACGTGGCGGGTCCAGGGGCACCTGATCGGCGCGGATACTGCAGACAAATGGCAGCCGAGGTCATGGAGAGCCGCGCGCTGCCGGGGCGGACAGCACGCGGCCAGTCAAGGGGCACCTATCTGGTGCGAAATCCTGTATGAAAGATATCAGCTGAAGGGATTCGCCACGCGCCGTCGGGGTAGTTGGCGCGTGGCGCCTAGGGGCATCAGGGTGGCCAGGAGCGCGGAGAGGAGGCTGAAACTGCGACCGGGTGCCCCGCAATGTCCTGGGTGGGCGGTGCGCTGCGTTAGCGTGTCTATGCATGGCAGCTGGGATGCACAAGGGTCACAGGGAATGCGACCAGAGTCCGCGTACTGGCCTTGGGGGTCTGAGCTGAGCTGAGCTCTTAGAGGCTAGGCAGGCCTGTCGGGTCTTGACGGCGCTGCCTCGACTGCTCGTTGTTGGGCTGGGTGGGGTCGGCGCGCCTCTTGCCTTTCCCGACTGGGTCGCGACCCTTTCCTTTGCCCTTGCCTCCCAGTCCACATGAACTCCCCTCGATCTACAGACCCTGCGGATGTCAAAGAACTCGTGATACAGGTCGTTCAGCCCTCAAGCAGAACACGCGCTACCACAAAAGGCCCCCAGAGACCACACGGGAGGGCCCAACACTGAAGAGATGGTCAAAGACTTTCCACCTTCCTCCTCTTGTCCTTGTTGCACAGACTCTAGCACATAGTGGGCTGTAGCGTCGTAAAGGTGGCGATCCGAAAACCAAAACAACATCGGGACTTGACCCTTAATCCACCAGAAAGAACGCACAACCAGCGCGTGCACCATACACAAATAGAAGGGCGAAGAGCATTGGACAGTCCTCCTCCGCCTCCTCACAAATGATGCTACTATCCTGCCCACTCTCCCCCAACCGCGCTCCGCCCTGCCCCTCCTCATCGTTCCTCGTGATCCTCCTGCGCTTTGCCATGCTCGGGCCACCAGTGCCCCGTCTCCCCTGTCGAGGGCTGGCGGACTGGCGCAAGCCTGATTTTTGCAACGCCAGAAATGAACAGCTGGATCAATTCCTTCGAAAGTCTCTCGGGGCCTCTGGAAGTCCTCGAACTCTCCAGAGGCCCCAAGAGACCCCCAGAGATCTCCAGAGGCAAACACACAAACACACACACACACTCTCACACACACACACACACACACGCGCACACGCACACACGCACACACGCACACACGCACACACGCACACGCACGCACTCACGCACACACACACACACACACACACACACACAAACACACTCACACACACACACACACTTACGCACACACACACACACACACACACTTACGCACACACACACACACACACACACACACACACACACGCGCGCGCACACTCATTTCTCCTCCCACACGGGGATGGGCTGCAGTCACCAGGTAAGCATGGCAACGGGCTACGTCTGGACAAACAAAAAAGACACAACCAACAAAACGTAACTATCGATCATCGCTCCTATCCTCCTCTGTTTGATTATCGTTATGGGGATGCAATGCTTGGAGGCCGCCTAACTAGGACCAGGGCAGATGAGGGTCGGAGGATCGCACCGCATCGCCAATGCGTCGGCGATAGATCGAAGACGTCGGGACGGAACAGATCGGGCTGCAGATCGCGCCACATCGCCGATGCATCAGCGATGCGGCGCGATCCTCCGACTCCGCCTGCTGCAGCACCGCTTGGTCGGCCTGGAGTGTTTTACCTGCTGCTCCTGACGTTGAGGAAGCACAGACTTTTAATCGCCTGCGGCGTCGGTGGCCTCGGCCATTAGCTGGCTTTCGGTGGCTGAGCAAGGCTGGGCGTTCAGGAAGCAGTACCGTCCACAGGCCGAAAGACGATGTCCGTGGAAAACTGGGGTCTGCCGAAAGTCCGCGTCAAGGCAAACGAGGAGGCAGCTGCGTCATACGTAAGTGACACAGGCCACCAGGTCGGCGTTCGGTGCCGCTGACACGGAGTCAAGGAGGCATCTGGCTGGGGAGGAGGCCGTCAAGGCCGAAAGAATCCGCACGCCTCGAACGTCGGGGTCCTTGGGCCGTTTCCGGAATCCACAGCAAAGGCCGCCTGACCTCGTGCTGGGCTCCTGAGCCGTGCTGGGTTCTGGAGCCGCGCAGCCGATGCCCACACGCGCGCTGGGTTCCGGAGCAGTGCTCCCGAGGCCCGCTTACGCGCCGCCTGAAGCCACGCTCCCAGTCGGCGTGACGCACGCACGGGCCGCTGGAGGCCGCGCCCTGTCGGCCGCGGGCAAGACCCATAGAACTGGAGCAGCCGTCAGGATCACCCTGCTCCTCTTACCTTCTCTCCCACGGTCGACCGGGAAGTCGTGACGGCGCCTGGATGCCGAGGTCGCCCTGCTCGAAGCAGGGCTGCCATAAGCATCACATTCACGGGGTCGCCGAGACGGAGGCCTGAGCTCAGGAATGCTGATGCGCACCGTCTCGGGGGCCTCTTTGGCCGCTCCGCTGACCCCAGTTGAGAAGGAAAGGTGGCTCGCCGCGGGGAGGCCGGGGTGCGCCTTCAGAGGACGAAGCTGGGAACTAAAAGAAAACGTCCCATCAAATTGACTGGGGAAACAACTAGTTTTTGAACGTTGCGCGGCGGAGACCCAGAAACCATGAAAAATCGCCAGCTGGAAACTACGAACTAAACTAGCAATCGACCAACAGCTGGAAACTCGAATAACATCTCTGGGCCTTCCCAACAACTGGTAAGATTCGCGTCATCAGAATCATCATCATCATCATCATCATCATCATCATCATCATCATCATCATCATCATCATCATCACCACCACCATCATCATCATCATCATCATCATCAGCAGCATCAGCATCAGCATCGTCATCATCATCCTCATCATCATTATCATCACCACCATATCATCATGATACCACCATCGCCATCACCATAATCAGCATCATCAGCATCATCAGCATCATCAGAATCACTGCCAGCATCATCAACACCACCACCACCATCATCAGCAGCAGCAGCAACAGCATCATCATCATAATCATCATCAACAGCATCATCATCACCATCTTCATCAACATCAGCATCGTCATCACCATCAACAACAACAACATCATCAGCATCATCATCATCATGATGATCAGCATCATCATCGTCATGATCAGCATTACCATCATCAGCATCCTCATCATCATCACCCTCATCTTCGTCCTCATCAGCAGCAGAAGCATCATCATCATCATAATCGGCATCATCATGATCATCAGTATCAGCAGCAGCGTCGCCATGGTCCACAACATGATCATCAGCATCATCATTATGATCAGCATCGTCAGCGTCATCGACATCACCATCGTCATCATCATCACTTCACCATCATCAACAACAACTGCAGCATCATCATGATCATCAGCATCAAATTCAGCATCATCATCCTCATTCTCACCAGCATAATCAACATCAGCACCAGCATCCTCATCAGCATCACCAGCATCAACATCACCTTCACCGTCCTCATCATCCTTATCCTCATCCTCGCAATACATCATCACTCCGATCATCAGCAGCATCGGCATCATCAGTACCAACATCACCGCCACCGCACCCACCACCAGCAACACCAGCACGATCATCGCCATCATCAGCATCATCACCACCGTCGTCAGCGTAACTGTCATCGTCGTTGCCATCGTCACCACCACAAACATCATCGTCAACGCCACCACCACCATCATCAACACTACCATCACTAGTATAATCAGCATCATCATCAGCATCATCCTCATCAGCATCATCATGTCATAATCAGCATCATCATCATCATCATCATCATCATCATCATCATCATCATCATCATCATCATCATCATCATCATCAGCAACAGCAGCAGCAGCAGCATCGTCCCGTTGCTGAAAGATGGGGGACGGGGCGGGGAAAGACGAGGAGAGGCGGAAAGGGGGGAGGCGCAGCCCAGGCCTGCCGTGCGAGGGCCCGATGCTGATGGGCGTCCAGAAAAGCCTGATATGGGATGCGGCGGGAGAGCCCTCCAGCTCCGTCGCCTCCTCGTCCCCCTCACGCCCCTCATCGTCCCCCTCCTCCCTCCTCCTCCCCCTCCTCCTCGAGAACGGGGGATTGTGGAGCCCCTCGGGGTTCCAGAGCGCACTCGCGAGGCTTTCACACTGAGTTCGCGCATGCGTCTTTCAATGGTGTGCGTACTCTGTGGCGTCCTCATCTCCTTCCGCCTCCCCTTCCTCCTCCTCCTCCTCATCATCATCCTCCTCCTCCTCTTCCTCCTCCTCCTTTTTTGTTTTTCTCTCCCCCCCAAAAAAAATGTTTGAGGGGGGGTCGGCGGCGAAAAAAAAGGAACGCGACCTTGCCGCATCTGCCCTCCCCCCTAGAAGGATTCCTATTGAACGCCCCCACAAGAAGGATTCATAGTGAAATCCTCTACAGAAGGAGTCCTACCGAAACCCTCCACTGAATGAGTCCTATTGGAATCCTCCACAGATGGATCCCTGTTGGAATCACCCGCAGAAGGATTGATATTGAGATGCTTCGAAAGAAAGAACCCCCCGTTGGCATTGCATTGGCATTGGTGTGGCAATGGTGTGGCATCGCAGTGGCATTGCGTTGGCATTGCGCTTGGCAGTGCGTTGCTAGCGCGCTTGCATTTCGCAAGCAGTGCGCTGGCGAGTCCGAATGGAACCCTCCACAGAAGGACTCCGATCGAAAATTTCTACAAGAAGGACTCCGATTGAAACCCTCCACAAAACGGTTCATAATGACACCCTCCACAGAAGAATTCCATGCGAAACCCTCCACAGAAGGATTCATATTGGAATATAACACAAAGGATGTCCCTCATTGGCAGTGCATTGGCATTGGTCTGGGATCGCTTTGGCGTTGGTGTGGCATTGCGTTGGCACTGCGTTGGCATTGCGCTGGCATGACGCTGGCGAGTTCCAACACCCCCCCCTTCGCAGAATGATCCCTGTTGAGCCCCCCACAAGAAGGATTCCGATTGAAACATCCCACAAGAAAGGTTCACATTGAACTCCTTCACGGAAGGATTCCATTCGAAGCCCTCCATAGAAGGATTCTTCTTGAACCCGACTACAAACGATTTCCCCCATTGGCATTGCCGTGGCATTGAATTGGGATTGCTTTGGCATCGGTTTGGTATTGCGTTGGTATTGACACTGCGCTGACGAGTTTTAGTGGCTCCCCCCACAGAAGGATTCCTATGAAAACCTTGCTTGACATTGAGGTGCTTCGAAAGAAAGAACCCCCGTTGGCATTGCATTGGCATTGGTTTGGCAATTCTTTGGCATCGCATTGGCATTGAGTTGGCATTGCGCTTGGCAGTGCGTTATCAGTGCGTTTGCATTTCGCAAGCATTGCGCTGGCGAGCCCTAATGGAAACCTCCACAGAAGGACTCCGATCGAAACCTTCTACAAGAAGGACCCAATTGACATCCTCCACAGAATGATTCCATGCGAAACCCTTCACAAAAGGATTCCTATTGAAATCTACTACAAAGGATTTCCCCCATTGGCAGTGCATTGGCAGGGGTTGGGATCGCTTTGGCATTGGTATGGCATTGCGTTGGCACTGCGTTGGCATTGCGCTGGCATTGCGCTGGCGAGTTCCAACACCCCCCCTTCGCAGAATGATCCCTGTTGGGCCCCCCACAAGAAGGATTCCGATTGAAACATCCCACAAGAAGAGTTCACATTGAACTCCCTCACGGAAGGATTCCATTCGAAGCCCTCCATAGAAGGATTCTTCTTGAACCCGACCACAAACAATTTCCCCCATTGGCATTGCATTGGCATTGAATTGGGATCGCTTTGGCACCGGTTTGGCATTGCATTGGCATTACGTTGGCATTGCGCTGGCGAGTTCAAATGCCCCCCCCCCCCACAGAAGGATTCCTATGAAAACCTTGCACAATAAGGGATCCTTTTGAAAGCCCCCATATGAAGGATTCAAAGTGAAACCCCCACAGAAACATTCCAATCGAGACCCTCCACGGGAGGATTCCTATCGAAATCCTCCGAAGAAGGATTCGTAACCAAATCATCCACATAAGGATTCCTAGTGAAATCTGCTGGAAGACAGAAATCCCGCCATCGGCATTGCTTTGGAATTGGTTTGGCAACGGTCTGGCATCGCATTGGCATCGCATTGGCATTGCATTGGCATTGCGATGGCAGTGCGTTAGCAGTGCGTTGGCATTCCGTTGGCGTTGCGCTGGCGAGTCCTACTCAAAAATTTTACAGAAGGATTCCTATTGAACACCCCCACAAAAAAGATGCCTATTGAATCCCCCCACAAGAAGGATCCGAATTGAAATCCTCAACAGAAGGGCTCCATGCGAAGCCCTCCATAGAAGGCTTCCTACTGAAATCCCCCGGAGAAGGGTTCTTAGAAGGATTGCTATTGAAATCTACCACAAACAATTCCCCCCATTGGCAGTGCATTGGCACTGGTTTGGCATTGCGTTGGCACTGGTTCGGCATTGCGCTGGCGAGTTCGAATGGCTCCCACCATAGAAGGATGCCTTACCTTCCACAAGAAGGCCTCCTTTTGAAAGCCCCCCCACCCAAAATATTCATACTGAAACCCCCACGGAAGGATTCCAATCGAAACCCATACCCCCTATTGGCATTGCATCGGCATTGAATTGGGGTCGCCTTGACATTGGTTTGGCATTGCGATGGCAAAGCTTTGGCATTGCGTTGGCATTGCGCTGGCGAGTCCGAATGGCTCCCTCCGCAGACAGACTCCTACTGAAACCCTCCACAAGAACGATTCCGATTGAATCCTCCCACGTGAAGGTTTCCTAGTGAAACCCTCCAAATGAGGACCCCTATCGAAACCCTACACATAAGCATTGCTATTGAAATCCTCCGAAGAAGGATTCGTATTGTCATCATCAACAAAGTATTCTTATTGAAATCCACCGAACGAAAGGATTCCCCCATTGGCATTGCATTGGCATTGGTGTTGGTTGGGAATGGATTTGTATCGCATCGGCATGCATTGGCATGGTGCAGGGGATAGACAAAGAGAGAGAGAGAGAGAGAGACAAAAAGAGAGAGAGAGAGAGAGAACACTAGAGAACGATATAACGAGAAAAGATTAATATGAGGGGATCACGGCGAAAAGAAAAATGACAAAAAAAACATCAAATGTTCAGGGTGAAAGAGCGTTTCACTCGATAAAAACCGTATGAAAACGACGAGGGGTTCCAGAATCCCCCGGCCTCGAGTCCTCCTCCTCCTCCTCCTCCTCCTCCTCCTCCTCCTCCTCGACCTCCTCCTCCTTCTCCTCGACCTCCTCCTCCTCGACCTCCTCCTCCTCCTTCTCCTCCTCCTCCTCACGCTAAGCCATTTCCCATCCAGGCCAGCCGCGGCCCGTCCAGATGGATCCGCCAGCAAATTAGGAAGTGGCACTGCTGGCGAGAGCCGAGGACCATGGGAGGCGCATTTCCTCCATTCTCACCGATGGCGGGCTGATGCGCTGGTTGCGAAGAGATGGGGTCTCCAGAGCGGCGTGCGAGCCCAAGATGGGCGAAACGGCAAGTAATCTGCCAGCTTCGACGAGGCTCGGCGTCCCCGTGCAGCTGCAGCAAACGTCCAGGACGTGTATGGCTGCACGGGATGGTGGGGCCTGACATCAGTTTCGGCTGGGCAGGCGGCGCTGCGCATCGCTGGCAGGCAAAGTGCCCAACGTGAAGGGGCACAAAACCTGGAACTGTGGGCTGAGCCTGGACAGGGCACAAAGGGCCAGCAAGGCAGGCGCTGGGCAGCTGTCCTGCAAACTCCTCTACGGTTTTGCATACTTTGTATTGCCGCAATTAGCATACGTTTGTGCTGTGGCATTTGGATACTTACAATTTTGCTTGTTCGTATGCTGGCAGGTGAGAGATTTTTTTGTCTCACAGGCAACGTTCTCTCTTGTTCTCACAAACCCCGCCGATTCCAGAATGCGTTGTCGTCATACCTCGGTTTCGTGTCAATCATATGCGTTGCTGATGGCGGGATCTCAATGTGCACGTGTGTTTCGCAGAACGTTGTAAAACATCCGTTTCGTAAGCAATGCGCTTCCTTTTCTTCGCTGAGCTGTTATGAACAAGCTGTGTTGCTGTCTCTTGAGGCGTCTGCTCGAGGTTAATAGCGCCAGTCGCGAATTCCAGGAGAGTCGACACACCACAGGAGCTCTTAGGTAATAGAGGTATTGCATATGATCGTGCAAGCGACCTGTGTTTCTTCCATCGCAGGAGTCTTCAGCAGCATAATCCCAGCATAATCCTCGTCACGCTGTGCTGTGCTAGCTTTACTGCTCATGATGTGCTATCCGCCACCGTGCCCCCTGGCACGTTGAGGCGTGGTAGAACGCCAAGGGCTGCCCTGTAGGGATCGTGGAATCTTCTAAGGGCCAACCCTCTCACCCCACTCAGGGACATGTATCGCCCCCCCCCCACACCTACCCTTTGCCCCCGTACAGAAAATACAGATCCGCGCTCCCAAGGCCACGATGCTTCGTAGGATCCGCACTCCGGAGACCATAATCTCGCAAAAAAAAACGATGGATCCGCGTTCCCGAGGCGCCACGCTCGCGCGTAAAAAGAAGTGGATCCGCTCTCCCGAGGCCAGGCTCCCATATGAGAAGCTATGGGTTCGTCCTCACGAGCTTCCAAGGCGGCAGAGGCAGGCCACCAAGGCCGCCAAGATGACACAAGATGTCGCCAAGACGACCCAAGATGGCTCTTTGACGGCTCAAGATGGCCTCAAGACTTCACAAGAGGCCCCCGAGACGGTCCAAAGGGCTTCGAGAGGACCCCCAGTAGGCCCGAAGGGGCCAAATCATATGTCTCGCTGGTTTTGCAATTTAAAAATTAAGGGTTTCACCTTCTCGGGCGTCCTTCAGTTCCAGACGACCATCGATGCCTCCAAGAAGCCTCAAGAGGCCACCAAAATGGCCTGATTTTCCCCCACGACAACCTCAAAAC